CCCCAAAACCCCAAAACCCCAAAACCCCAAAACCCCGGGGTTAATATCCGAGGTTGATATTATATATAAATCAACATGAGTTAAATTATTTTTATTTTTTCTTTAACTCTTCTATTTCCTTTTTCAACATCTCATTTTCTTCGACAATGACTTCGACTCCTTTCTTGATTAAGCTGATTCTGTTATCTCATTCGGATAATTTGTGATTAACTCTGTCCTCTGATGGCTTCATCTTGTCTTCTAGCGCAGAGGAAGCTATATTCTCGATCTCTTCTTGTAGCTTCTGAAGATGTGCAATATGCTTCTCAGATGATTCCTGGATGAATATTCTGAGCTGGTTAAGCCTTCCTTCCCAACTGACATTTCCTCCTCCTTCAGCCTTCTCTGGTTCAATAACAATAATGTATTTAGAGTTTTTAAAAGCTCTGCTTCTTGAGAACAAGAATTCGTTTTCTCTGATCATATCAGTCAGTTCCTTCAGCATGGATTTCTCTTGAGTCTCCTGAACCCTATCGAAGGTGTCACCCATGATTGCAATGATCAAATTGAGCAGCACAATTAGGACAATAAGAGTATTAACCAAGAAGAAGATCCAGAGAATCTCTTCATCTCTAGTACCAAAGTCATCAGTCAAGAAGTCTCCAAGCCCCATCTTATAGGAGAAGATCAGAGCATCAATGAAGTTGTCGCCTGCCAAGTTTTCTCCATCAGGGGAGTTTCTCCCCAGTATATAGAATGCATTCCCGAAGGCGATTGTAGCAAGCATCAGAACCGTGACGAAAAATTTCATATCCTTTAGAATTTCAATAATCATTCTCACTAAATATGCAGTAGAGGAGAAGATTCTCAAGAAATAAAACAACTTGAAGTACAAGATAAGCACTGCCATAGCTGAGATTCTGTTCTTGTCATGAAAATGAGCTCCTGTGTAGTCCATAATAACAACTGCGGTGTTTGTAACAACAGTAAGCAAGTCCAGCAAGTTCCAGAACGATTTTACATAGTCTATTTTATGAAAGATGATCTGCTTGAGTTCAACATAAGCCCAGAAGATGTTGAACAACAAGATTATTCCTCCGAATGCATAACTGGTAATATGATAAAACCCATTGCTATCACTCTCAAGATACTGGTCTTCCATAAGCCAAGTGGAGTACACTCAGAATAATGCAAAATATATCATATAAGGGATGAACAACTTGTAAATGATAGCTTCCATAAAATACTTCCACTGGAACAAGATAATATCCTTGATGATAGGTTGTCCAAAAATATGAATATTCTTTGAATCACTGAGGTCCTTCAAAAACCTGTGGGCAGTTTTACCCTTGAACAGCCAGTCAAATTCAATTCCTTTGATACTGACTCTCTTAGACTTATTAATTTCTTCATCAAAGAAGATACCATCTTCGTCGTCATCCTGCATCTGATCTGAGCTCCAGGGGTCTCCTGATTTTTCTCCATAGGATTTATTGAGCGATCCTCCATAGGGGGCTACTTGGCTGAATTTTGCTGGCTTTGAACCCTCATTTTTATCTTTGTCTTTGTCTTTATCATCAGCATTGAGCACCTTATACTTCTCATAGAAGTTCTTGTCAAGAATGGAGCATGAGAAGCTCTCTCTGATACTGTTATCAGCATTTGCAATTTGCAACTTCTGGATTGACTTCATTTGCTCAGTGATGAAGTAGCATGAATTCAAATACTTCTCAAATGACTTCAAATTCATTGTGAAAAGTGACGTGAAATTTTTGAAAATCTTTCTTGACAACGAAAAGTGATCTAACTTTAATAAGCAGTTCAATATCAGCTCAATAATCTTAGCTGATTTATTCTCGATAGCAATCTGGAGAGCTGACTTTCCTTCTTTATTGTCGATTACCAGCATTGAATAGTATAGAGGTTCCTTGTCAAACAAGTCCAGAACTAATTTTAAGTTTTCAAAATGGTCAATATAGTCAAAAACAGCTGATGTTTTATTCATGTAATACACCTAAATCTTCCTAATGCTAAGCTTACCACTTTCTCCATGTCAAGATTTTCTAATCCCTTATTCTTGTGATAATAAATATCTTTATATCACAGAGGAGTGATCAAAGAGCCTCTAGCAAGCATCATATCTTGATTCGAGTTGATCCTGATTCCTTGCCCATAAAGTTTGGAGTTAGTTTCCATCTTCCTGGTCATGAAAGGAATTGGAATTCCTGCTTGTATTTCGACAAAGTATTTGTCAAATCACATGAATCCGAATTGTGAGTTTTTGCCATGAATGTAATCTCGGATTACATCTCCTTTTCTTCCTAAGAAGTTGTTGTACTCAATATTATTTTTGTGTGTCCCAGGTAATGATAGTCGAAGCACCATTCAGGTCATAGACAAATATCAGGTATTTAGGATTCCTAGGAATTATAATTTGCTCCAAGTCACATTGCTCTTCAATATCTACAGCTTTATGCTTTAGCATTTTTGAAGACTTGATCTTAGCTCCTTTATATCTAACTTTTAAAATATCTTCAAAATGCTTAATCACAAACACATTCTGGCCAAACTTTAAGATCTCTATTTTGTCTAGAAGAAAGTCATGGTCGTTCAGCATTGACATATACTGATGCCAAAGGTTCTTCTCGTTAATTTGGAACACTTCTCGAGGAGGTAGGTAGAGGATGGCATTGCCTTTATTATCAACAAAGATACTTTCTTTATCACAGTCAATTTCATCAGGATCAACCACATAAATACCTCTTTCTTCATCCTTCTTCTCTTTGCTTGGGTATTTGATCAAATGAGTGCTATGGACTTCAATATCGATGATGTTGGTAGTCTGAAAATTAGCATTAACGTTTGTAATATTATTATCTTTGTTTTCTTCCATCATTTTCTTGTAATCACTAGTTGGAACTATCTTGAATACTCTCATAGCCTTCTCTGAATTATCTTTTGTAGGTTCATCACTAAAAGTTATCTATCTATGGCTTACTAAAACTCCTTTTGGTCCTCTTTAATAAACTATAAGTAAGTTATATCATCACCATTTACTGCACCAGGCACCACAAAGTACTCACCACTCTGTGAGAATACTGGGTGGTCAGTTGAATCAAATTTCTCTGGTAAATAGACGGTTTGAATGATCTCTCCGTTGAGCATGCATACATCAATCTTGATTTCAGCCCCATGGTTGAGCCTATCTTCATCCGCTTCAGGGTCATACTTATCCAGAACTTTGTAGGCTATGGCTGTTAGACAGGAAAGTACTTCAATAAATAATGTATTTGTCATCAAAATGACAGAATATTTCTTGATTGTCATCCTCATTCATCTCTCTCTGCTTGATTTCGTAAGAATTCATTGGAGGAGCTAAACATATTAGAAATAACCTAACCTAGCAATAAACTCTGATTCTGAGTTGTATACGTTGAATCATACTCTGGATTCAAAGAATATAGAATGAAATCTTCTGAAACCATTGGAAACTTGAAAGAGCCATATTCAAGAGAGAATTTTGAATAATAAATTGCAGTAAACTTTCCTTCCTTTTCTTTTCCCTTTTCTTGCAAGATAGTAGTCCCATTGCCACTATAAAGCATACCGTTACAGTATCCATAACCTCTTAGAGTATTTTGGTCAGGACTAGTAGCAAAGTATGTATCAACATAGTAATCTTTGAAAATATTGACTTTATGCATCTTCTGAGCCCCTGAATCTGCTACTTCAAGAATCTTGATATATTTAGGCTCGTCAACACAAGCAATATACTCTTTTCCATTGATGTAAGTGAGTTTGCAATCTTTGATTTCCTCGTCAGCTTCATAGACCTTAGAGATAGCACTTGTGCTTGTGGGATCGTAAGGCAGTCTCATAAGCTCAAGTTTGTCACCTTTAAACTTCCATAAGACCAATGCTTTGGTTTTCTTCATGTTGATAACAGCATGCTTATTTATAATTCTTCTTTATCTCATATTTCATTGACTTGTTTTGAAGAGACAGGACAGATAATGCCTCACTCTGGTGGATCATTATAGCATTCTCAACACTCTTAGTCTCAGGATTCTGAAAAGGGATACGGTAGTAGCCCTTAATCTTATCACTTTCTATATCTGTCTTCTCAATACTTCTTCTATCATACTCAATGGTGTTCGTGTTCATGTCCAGTTTCATGATGGCAGTTTGGAATTGATCCTTTCTTTGGAACACCATTCCAAGCTCCATCTTTGAGTTCTTCTCTGTAATGACATTGTGGACATTCTCTGTAGCAACAATGGGATCATCAAAATAGTAAATCGTTGTTTTGTTATTCAGATCCTGAACCCACAGCTCCCGTGTACCCCAAACGTAAGATATAAGAGGGTATTGGAAAATAATGTTTCTGATTGCTTTCACAGAGTAAGTACTGTATCTACCAGGAAGGATACTATGGACGATCATCTTTCCATTGTTTAGCTCGACCATGTAGAGTCCATCGTCTTCATTTAGGAACTTCATTCCTTGGGTATAGAGATAACTCTTATCAATGGTCTGTTTCCAAGTCTGCTTGCCATCTTCAAAACAAGCAACATTGAGACATTTCCAGTTTGGCTGATATCAAATACCAACTTTATTTCCACTAAATGTAACATTTGAGAGAGAGTAGTATTCCTTGACCAATTCTACAGCTTCCACATTCTTTGCCTTGAGGTCAACATAGTATATCTATACTCTATTATTCACTGCCTCAGAACAGGCTTACCTTTGGGTATTTGTCGTAACAAAACGCTGAGTTGTCGTTGTTAAAGTATATAGTAGAGACATAAGAGTCAAACTCATAGATGACCCTTTCTTTATCTTCGATGAAGTCTATAGCGATGAGATTAGTCTTTGTATAGGTATCATCGGCATTCTTGCAACCTGCAAACTCAGTTTTTGTAAACTGGTAAATTGAGTACATATTCCTTCCTTCTATTCTTTTAACAAACTCCCCATTCTGTTTGAATATATATCTTGAGTAAGAGTCACCGCCGACCAGGTAAGACCCATCATATGACAATTTTGTGTCATAAAAGTAAGTGACATCATTGCCATTACTGTCCTTTGCTGTTAGCGTGGATTCATGAACCAATTCGAGGTTATCAGCTCTGTGAACGTAGACAGTTCGTGAGTCGTTGCCTGAGAGTAAGATAAATCTACCATCTTTTGAAAACTCAATTGTGCTGTTCATGTTTCCCTTCAGGTACATTTCTTTATCCTTCTTGAACCCTGTCTTGTCTACCTTCCATCTAATGAAGAGCTTGCCAGCTAAATACAGGTTAGGATTTTCATTGATAAGAGAAAAGGTTGGTTCAGTCTGAAGTATTTCTGACAGAAATTCTTGCACGGATTAGGGACTTTAGAAAAATCCTGAATGAATTTTACCAAAGTTGGCTAAAATATTCCTGAAAGATGTCCAGACCATTTAAGGGTAAACCTTCGTTCTTTAAGATGGACATTATAGCAAAGGGGTTCTATCAGGCTAACTAAATAACCCACAGGTTTATATTTCTAACTCCAGTTAATTCTTAAGCTCAGAAAATTACGAAATAAGTTTATTTCTTCATAAATTCTGCTGTTCGAAACGGCAGAATAATTAATCTTTTGTCTATTGATGCGAGCAGGGTAGTGAAAAGGAGGCGGATCAGTATAAAACATAGCTTAGCTTTAGTAGGCCCATGCTTCATCTCACTCCTGTTGGTGTGGAGAGAAGCGTTAGGAAATTATCGGATTTCAAATAAAATTCTAAGTTAAATAAAATATGGTGGTGATTTAACTAGCTAATCTCTTCGGAATCTTATATTTGCATGGGCTGTAGAGAATTAACCAGTGAGCATTTTCACAAGAAGACTTGGTTATCTGATATTACTAGGTTTGGAGCGGTACAGGTAAAATAATAGTGTAGTGCAGTATCCATCTAACGACTTTTAGAGACAGTAAATCTGAAATAGCCTGAGACTAAATTTATTGGTCTGATAATACAAACGGTGCATCCAAGCTAGTTCTTAGTGGATCTTGAGCTTTAAGGGGATGATAGGATTGGAGACACGGCTTAAAAATATTTTGAATAGATTCTTACAGGCATTAGGATCCCTAATCTCTGAACTCTTTGCAAATACCTCTTCAAAACTCTCCTTCTCAGTCTCTTTATTGAGGTCTCCTTGTCTACTCTTAGGGCGATTTTGAGATTGAGATGACTTCATAACCTCATCTCGAGGGTTAGAAATCTTCTTTGTTGATATTTCAAGCTCATTCTTTTTAGGAGTCTCTGGTCTTTCTAGCAGCCCTTCACTTTCAATAGTCATTTGGGCTTTGCTAACGATACCATCAGTTGGTTGAGGGCCTTCTGGCTCTTTCTTACTATCCTCCATGTCATCATCATAAGGGTTTGCAGTTTCTTTCTTCTCATTTTTAAGCGTCAACTCTTTAGTTTGCAAATGATCTGGTTCTTTTGTCTTCATTTCCTCCAAAGATTTTTTCTGCTCTTCGTTCTTCTTTTCTTCCTTCGTTTCTCCTTTAGATTTCTTCATAGCTTCAGCTCTGAGTTTCTCAAGCACAGGAGTTAAGGCTTCTTTCCTTGCCTTGCTAGTGAACAGCCTGAACTTCGTCTCCTTTTTAACACTCGATGTGGCAAGAGTGTAGACCACATCATCTGCAGCAGGGCTTAATTTGCAAACATCATACTTCATCATCGGGAATGGGATCTTCTTAGTAAAAGAGTCACTGTACAGCCTGTCGTAGTCAGTCTTATCTTCTTCTAGTTCCATTTTATATATTATCAATGATATTCTCGCTTCTTGGGGTTTTGGGGTTTTGGGGTTTTGGGGTTTTGGGG